GTGGCTTGAGGTCTCATGAGTTGCTGGGGTCCAATCCCAGCAGGTCCAGGGGTCCCCAAAGGTGTGGACGGAGTCGGCGAAGAAGGAATGACACGAAGACAGCCTTCAGTTGGTCAGCAGCCTAGTCAGGACCTATAGCCAGGATCTCCAGCCAAAGTTCTGGTCGGAGTTCTGGTCAGGAACTGATGAGGATCTGACGTTTATTGTCTTATTACATCCGTATTTATACCAGCCGATTCCAATCCCGTCAATTTCTATTACAAGGGTTAAGGTGTTTCTCATCTCCATTCCAGGGAGTAAAGACCATGTAGCTTAATTACCCGCCTGGCACTTAATTAAGGGGTTGTATCCCCTCCCTAACCTCAGGGAAAGATCCCCACCTGGGGAAACAACCTTTCTCGGAGAGGTGACCTTGGTTAAAACACATGGCGCTAAAGGGAGCAAACATATTAAAAACAGTATGCTACATACGCCAGGTCCACTGAAACACATGCTGTGCAGATGCCTCTTTCCTGCAGCGACTGCGTCAAGCAGCAAGGATGGACCGGCCTCCGGCAATGAGGGACTTTCATTCATATATAGATAGATTGGTATCTGATTAAGAGGAATTGGTGGTTTCTTTCTTTTTCTTTTTTCTTTTATTAGCTACTAGCTTTTTAACAAAATATGTTTTTATTGATTTTCAGAGAGAGGAAGGGAGAGGGAGAGAGAGATAGAAACATCAATGAGAGAGACATTGATAGGCTGCGGCTGCCTCGTACACACCCCCTATCAGGAATGGAGCCCACAACAGGGGCATGTGCCCTGACTGGGAATAAAACCAGTGACCTCCTGGTGCATGGGATGACGTTCAACCAAATGAGCCACACTGGCCGGGCTGTGGTTTCTTAAAAGGAGGTTTGACTAGCCCTGCCCACCCAGGATCCCCTGTCACGTGACTCTGCCTGGCAAATGCAGACATTGAGGTGCAGGGATCATTTACTCTCTTTGTTTAGCCTGGGATAGGACTTTTAAGGGGCAGCCCAGCCCTGGGACACCTTGGTTCCGGTCCACTTCTGGAGGGTTCTTGCCTGCCTCTTTTCAACCCATTCCTTCATCCTTGCTGCTGTTGCTTCCGCCGTGCTCTCCTCCATCCTGCACAGGCTCCATGCCTTCTCCATGGACACCTCACCGGCCCCTCAGCTCCGTGCCCACTCTGGCCTCGCCCAGTTAGGAATTCGGCTTCCTTCTCACATGACTAACTCAACATGCTTTCCTCAAATGAGCAACTTTGTGTGTGTGTGTGAAGTAAATAATAACTCGCCCCCCCCCTTCCCATAATTGTTGTTTTGCGAGATGTTCTTTACACGACATTTGCTTAACGTGGAGGGGCATTTGTTGCGTAGGAGTCCTTTTTAATAGCAGGACCGGGGACCAGGATGACACTGGCTTTTAGGCAGAGGGTCTGCCTTGCTCTCCAGGCTGATGTTGAGTTGGCTTTATGGCAGCGCCTCTGTGATAAAGCATCACATTAAAGCAAGTTGTATTTCTTGTAGTCAGTTTCATCCAGTAGTGCACTGAGGATTCTGAAAAGAGAAACCAAATTCTATAAAAAGGAGAGAGAAGAGGACAAGAGAGGGGGATAAAAGAGCCCTCAACAATTCAGTTATACAAATGGGCCTTGTATTATTGTGGCAAAATTACTTATAAATGAAAGCCAAAGAGGAAAAACAAGCAGTGTGGTAGGTGTACTCTCTGTTCCTTGTCTTGTTTTTCTGCTCTAAAGCATAGCACTGTGTTGACGTAGGCATGTAACTGCTATGAATATTGATGGCAGCAAAAGCTTCCTCCCCCTGTCTGGCCTAGTAAATAAAGCAGAAGGGATAAAAGGGGGAGTGAAATTATAAAATCAGCATGCTGTTTTCAGCTTATCCTGTGCCCTTGGAACTCCAAGTCTCCAAAACATATTGAAAATCCACATTTGGTGGCCAGGGTCTAATTTCAGTACAGTGGATTGCTATTTTCAGGGATTGTTGCTTCTGCTTAAAACAACAGAATAGCTCTTCCTTTTAGCTCTCAAAGTTAACATCACTGCCTCACGGAAGCCCTCCTGGGTGTCTCCTCCCCACCCAATAGCAAAGTGGGCCCCTGTTCCTCAGAACATTCACAGTGGAGTGAATGCCCCTCCCGTGGCAGCACCCGCTCAGGGACATGGCAGTGCACAGGAGAGGAGCCGGGTGTTCATGGAGGTTACAGGGAGTATGGAGAGTGACCAGAGGCCTTGGAGGTCTGCGTGTGGCAGGAAGGGGGAATGCATGCTGCTGCTCTGGGAACATTTTGCAACCTGCTCACCTCAGCCTGGACTGGGGGAGGCGGTGATGTCATAGCCGAGGAAGTTCTCCACCGCCTGAAGGACGGATTGGGGTGCATGGGATGAGCGAACCCCAGGACAGGGCCTGGGTTTTCTTTGGAAGGTCTGGAGGAAGCATGGGTCTGGAGGCTGTGGAGGAGCTAGGCTTTAAAAAATGTATAATTGGCATACAACGTTATATTAGTTTCAGATGTACATCATAGTGATTTGACATTTATATACCTTACACTGTGATCACCCTTGTAAGTCTAGTACCCATCTGACACCGTGCAAAGTTATTACGATATTATTGACTACATTCCCTGTGCTGTGTATTACAGCCCTGTAGCATATTTATGTTATAACTGGAAGCTCATACCTCTTACTACCCTTCACCTTTTCCACCCATCCCCCTATCTCCCTCCCCTCTGGCAACTCTCAGTTTCTCTATTTTATTTATTTTTACTATTTAAATTTATTTTATTTTTATTGGATTTATTGAGGTGACATTTGTTAATAAAATTATATCGGTTTCAGGGGTACAATTCTATAATACATTATTTGTATATTGTTCTGTGTGTTCACCACCCCAAGTCAAGTTTCCTTCCATCATTTAATCCCTCCTTTACCTTTCTTCTCTGTTACGATGAGTCTGTTTTTGTTGTTTTGTTTATTCTTTTTAGATTCGACATGTAAGTGAAATCATAGGTATTTGTCTTTCTCTGTTTGATTTATTTCACTTAACATAATGCTCTCTAAGTCCATCCATGTTGTTGCAAATGGCAAGATTTTGTTCTGTTTTATTGCTGAGTAATATTCCACCGTGTATATATATACCACATCTTCTTTATCCATTCATCTATTGATGGATACCTAGGTTGCTTCTATATCTTGGCTATTGTAAGTCATACTGTGGTAAACATAGGGATGCGTATCAAACTGGGCTTTTAAAATGGAAAACACACTGACTCTGGCTAGCTCACTGCACCAAAGAATCTATTAGGCTGCCATGACGGTGTGCTGAGGATGAAAGGGCACTCTGAGGGCAGGTTAGGAATGGCAGGGACCGGAAGGAAGAACTGATAAACTGGTTTTCTGGCAGAACCAGTGGGGAGTCGGGAGTGGGGGTGAAGGCTGGGGTACTGTAGTGGTCGGATGGTTCCCCTGGCGCTAAAGAGGAAGGATGCCATGAGAAGACACGCAGAAGTTCAGCTGGGGACTGGAACTGGCCAGCAGCAGAGGGGTAGCACTGGTGGCAGATGGCTCGAGCCCAGGGTGGCTGAGGCAAAAGAGCAGTCATATACATGTAACAAGAGTCCTTGCAGGGGAGAAGTGGATGAGCCCTTTGGCCTTATCAGACGGCTAATGATGCAGACTTGCTCTTTGTCACTTACCTCTCTTGGGACTGTCTCTGTGTGCACGTTAGAAACCGCCCCTCGCCCCTTCCCCCACCAGGCTAAGCCTTTCGAGGCTGGGGACCACAGTGGAGACTTTTTCTACCTGGCTCTGGGAATGGGTCTGCCAAGCAGAAGAGATGCTCACTGAGTGTTTCCTGGGCCAGGCCGACTTGACCTCGTGCACCAGGCATCTTAATAAGAGAATTCCTGGCTTCCTTTTCCTGACCTTGGTGACTTTCTTCAGGTCCCCCGTGTAGAGTTCATATCAGTAGAGGACATTATGGCCCATATGGAAGAGTTTCATTCCTGAGGACTTTTCATCTAGTTATTATTTAAGTAGCTTCTTACCAGGGAATGCCTCTTGTAAAATGAATCACACACATCTCGGTCGGCCCATATTTCTAGGAAAGCTGAAGTTGTATAAAGAAAACCTTTATAAAAGAGGAAAAAGTCAACATTTTTAGACTGATGGGTGTGTTTTCTATACTCGTGGAGATGCAGGAGTTGGAACTGGGAAGGTTCATGTAGCCCAGGACGGAGTCTCGGAGGTCTGTGGCAATGGCGTGGGAATGACTGCTGAGCAGAGAAGGTTGAGCCTGGCCTGGGAACGTGCGTGGTGACCACTCAGCACTCAGCAGGGTCATCCGAGAAAGGTGGCATGCCGATAAGCAGACTGTGGCCTTCCCATCCTGAATTCACCCCCATTACTGTGCGTGTGGATGAGGAAACGTAGGTCCAGAGGAGAGATGGGGCTTTGCCAAGGTCACCGTGCTGCTCAGTGACAAAGCTGACCCTGACTTAGACGTTAGATATAAACCCACGATCAAGAGAGGGTCAAAGCAGACACATCTTCCTCTCTCCCACAGGACGTTCCCTTCAAAGCTGCCGTTGGGATCTTTGCTGCACCTCGTGCTTTTCTGGGCCCGGTTTGGCAGCCTCAGGAGGAAACATGCTGCGTTTTGCAAATGTGTGCAAATAACAAGTGTGCCTGTTATGTCCTAGCAGTCTCATTGCACATGCATCAGGGCAGGTGGCAGAATGCAATCATGCAGCCCCCGGTGAAAAGAGGGTTATGCTTAGCTGCTTATGAGGAATTCAGTGTGAGAAGGAACATGCCTCCCTGGCCCAGGTGCAGTGTAAATGGTTCCATTTCTCGTAATGAAAATGTGACTTGGAGAAAAATGCTTGGAAATTGATTCTAATATTTTAATCTGTATTTTTAAAATCTTTTCTCCTTCTTCTCCCCCCTCCCTTTTCTTTGTTTTTCTTCACAGGAAAAAGTAGAATATGCCTTCCTGATTATTTTTACAGTCGAGACATTTTTGAAGATTATAGCTTATGGATTATTGCTACATCCTAATGCTTATGTTAGGAATGGATGGAATTTACTGGATTTTGTTATAGTAATAGTAGGGTAAGTCCCTTTTATTTTGGGAGAGATGTTTGTTTGGAAAACGGGAGGCGGGAGGGACAGAAGAACTGCGTCTTTGGAGGAAATGTGGTTACTCCTCTGCCGGTGATTGCAGCCAGACCTGTCGGGAGTTCTTTGAAGACTGGTGATGCTGCTGGCAATCTCCAGGCAGGACTGGTTTGAAATGCTCTCGTGGTTTTCCCCTGACCGGTGTGGTTCAATGGTCATAGCGTCAGGCCATGCACCAAAGGGTTGGGGTTCTATTCCCAGTCAAGGGCACATACCTGGGTTGCAACTTTGATCCCCAGCCCCGGTCAGGGCACATTGCGGGAGGCAACCAATCGATGTGTCTCTGACATCGATGGTTCTCTCTCTCTTTCCCCTCCCTCCCACCCTTTCACTCTCTCTAGAAATCAATGGAAAACATATCCTCAGGTGAGGACAAAAAAAAGAAAAGAAAAGAAAAATATTTCATGTTTTTTACTCGTGCTTTCAGAAACGGCTATAGCAGGAAGTCTAAGCTTCTGATGAGAGAGGGTTCATCTTACAGGGCCTCTGGCTTCCACAAATAGGCCAGCCCTACTGGTGATTTGAGTCAAATGTGTAGAGCTCTTATATTTAGCACCCTGTTAAGTTTTTTTTAAAAAAACTCAGAATAGTAAAAAAGTAATAAATCCTTATAGCAGTGAGGTACTCTGCTGTTTAACATCCCTTGAGCAAAGCTATTAATTCTTTCTGCTGACTTGTGGGGAAAAACTTTGGCATGCTACTATCCCATTTTAAATAACAAAACAAGTGTCTGAATAATATCAGATATCTGGCATGAAATGAAATAAGCCAGAAAATTCAGAGAGGCAGGCATTATCCTGAAATCCTGTTACAGGAAGAAGACACCAATAGTTTTATTTAAAGTAAAATGGTAAAATGAAAACCAGTGGCCTGTGTTATTCTGGTCCTGCCACACCTGGAAATGTGGCCAGCAAGAGAAAAACGAATCAGTGTCGGTGGAATGCTGGATCTTTGGACCAAATACCCACACGGAAAAAGAAACTAGATCCCATCGCTGAGTCTTCGTTACCCAGCTACAAAATGGGTTGCTCCTAAAATTACATTTGGTCTTAGAGAGAGAGACTGTTAAATGACCTCTCTGTTTTCATCGCTATGACTTGTTCAGTTACCTTTTATAGTTGAGCAAGATAATTTATCTTTTGGATTATTCTTTTATCATGAATCCTTTGGCTTTTTATGGGAGACTAATCTAGTTGGATGTTGGGAGAGTAGGAAAACTTTTGAGCCTCTAATCTCAAACCTTTGAAGTTAAAATGGGATCCGCAATGGTGGCCCAGTGGGATAATTAGACTTATGGGAAAAAAGTTAGCTTTTGCAAAACTCACCATAGTATATTGGCATCTAAGGTATGACAGCCAAGGTAGTGCAGCTAAAATGAATAGGTGATAGATATGTATCATACCTTCCTGTATCTGGTGAACTCTAACAGGAATGGCTAGCAGGAACCTTGAAGGTCTCTTGATTCTGGAATAATCTTGCTGTGCCTCTCCTGGCCCTGGAGGATGGAGATTCTTAGCTCCATTTCTTTGTCCCTACCCTTCAGTCACCTTGGCTTTCTGCCTGGAGACATTTTTCAGGCTGTAGTACAGCACAGAGAGGGAACCAGGTACAGTGTGGTGGTCTCGTTAGGTTGAGACAGAAACAAGAGGTCAGAGAGGCTGAGGTGGCTGAAATTTGAGAGGCCTAGTGTGGAAGGGGAGGGAGCTATTCAGAGAAAGAGCTCTATAAATATGCCTTGGGGTCCTCTTGAGTTTTGACTGAATGTTCAGCTACAGTTACGTGGGGTGAGATTCTGTGAGGCCAGGCAAAGAACACTGTTAGGGAACACCAACCAGCGTGGAAAGATGTCATTGAACACCCTGGAATGTCAGTAGAGACTCCAGAGGGACATTAGTATTGGGGATAAACTAGCTCCAGGCAGGGGTTGACAAACTATGGCCAACAGGCCAAATCCAGCCTGCCACTGATTTTTGTAAATAAGGTTTTATTATAACAGTGTCATATATTTGTTCACAGAGTTGAATTGAGTAGTTTAGATCCACAATGTTTACAATACAGGATGGGGAAAAAGTAGGTTTACAGTTGTGAATATGTGAAACACAGAGTTTATTATTGGGTTATTATTTATTAACTATTGTATTATTTTTTATGTGAACAACTGTAAACCGACTTTTGCCCCACCCTGTACTTGCTATCTGGCCCTTTGCGAAATAAATTTGCCAGCCTCTGCTGCAGAGTAAGGACTACCTGAAACCCTTACTGATAATGTTTGGGAAGAAGCCTGAAAAGGAGAAAACTGATATGCAAGTAACCTAACTGCCCATTAAAGAAAACGCCACACTCTTTAAAAGAAGACAACAAAATCCAGACATTTTACAATGTCTAGCATCCAGCCAAATATCACTAGGCATCTGAAGAACTGTGGCCCATAACCAGGAGGAAATTCCATCAATAGAAACAGACCTGGAAATGACAGAGATGATGGAATTAGTAGAGAATTATTTTACAGAACTTTAAAAATAGCTATTATAAATATGCTTATGGATTTAAAGGAATGACTACAGTGATGGAAGATGGGACAATATAAAAAAAAAACCAAATGGGATTTTGAGAGCTGACAAATATCTGAAATGAAAGTTCTCTGGATTGGCTTAATAGCAGGTTAGACACAATAGAAGAAAAAATATCAAGGATCACGAAGACATTGCAGTAACACAAAGAGTAATGATGGATACAAATATGAATACACCTGGTGACTCGTGGGACAATATCAAGTGCTTTAGCATATATATATTTGGCATCCCAGAAGAGAGGAGATAGAGGGGAGACAGCAAAAAATATTTTAAGGAATGGCTCCAACTTTTCTAAATGCGATAAAAAATATAAACTAAAAAATCCAAGAAATTCAAGCAAAATAAGCATGAAGAAGGCAACATCAAGGCACTTTATAATCATAATTGAATTGCTCAAAACCAACGAGGAAATCTTAAAAGCAATCGGAGAAAAAAGATGTTACAGACTTTTTGTAAGCAACTATGCAAGCCAGCAAGCGCTACAGCGACATCTTTAAAGTGCTAGGGAACCTAATTTTTTTATTCAGTGAAGAGATCTCCAAATTGAAATAAAAAACAACTCCAAAACTTTTTCACACAAACCAAAGCTGAGAATTCATCACCAGTAGATCTGCATCTCAACAAATGTTAAAGGAACATCTTCACACTGAAGGAAAATGACACCAGATAGAAATGTGGATCTACAAAAAGGAATAAAGAATGTCAGAAAGGGTAATTATCTAGATAAATATTAAAACACATTTCTCATTTTAAAATCTCTTTAAAATTAATTTATTATTCAAAGCATAAAGAATAACAATATATTATGGGGCTTATAGCTTCTATAAAAGTAAAATACATAATAGTACAAAGGGCAGGAACAAGGAAAAAGAGCCATATACTACTGCAAAGTGCTTGTATGGTAGGTGAAGTGACAAAATATTATTTGAAGGTAGACTGTGATAAGTTAAAGATGTATATTGTAAATCCTGGAGTGTGGGCCAGCAAACTTCAGCCCATAGACCAAATCTGGTTTATTGCCATTCCCTCCTCCACCCACATTGACAAGTGTCTTGCTGTTTGCTTTAATAGATAAAATTTTGTTGGAAGACTGTCATATTCATTCATGTCTATGGCTATTTGGTGTTAGGATGGCTAAGTTGAGTAGTTGTGACGGAGACTCTATGGCCTGCAAATCCTACAAGGGATACTCTCTGGCACTTTAGAGAAGTTTTTTGCTGACATTTGTTCTAAAGGAGCCACTAGAAAGATAATGAGATATAACTAACAGGCGTGTATTGGAGGAGATTAAATACTTTTTGTTTGTTTGTTTTTAAAAAAGCTCAACCCAAAAAAGACAGAGAAAGAAAAACTAACAATGGACAGAGCAATAGAAAAGAAATAACAAGATGGTAGATTTAAACCCAGATTTATAAACTCTTATTAGAACCCAGAGTTTATCAGGTTTTATATGTTGAAAAGTCCCCACTCTATAGTGTCTATAAAACTACTTTAAATATAAAGACACAAACAATTTTAAAGTAAAAGGACAGAAAAATACATAAAATGCAAAAACTAAGAAAAGCCTGAGTGGCTATATTAATATCCAACAAAGTAGACTTAAAAACAAGGGATATTATCAAGAATAAAGAGAGAAATTTCATAATAATAAAGGTTGTCATTTAATCCCAGAAGATGTAATAATCATAAATATATATGTGCCTAATAACAGAGCTTCAAAATACACAAAGACAAAACTGATAGACCTGAAAGGAGGAATAGACAAATCTACAGTTGTGATTGTACATTTTAATACCCTTGAGGAGTGTTGATAGAACATGTAGACAGAAAATCACTATGGACACAGGGAAGTTTGGACAGTACCATCAATCAACTTGACTTGATTGACATTTTTAGAACATCCCACCAACAAGAGTAGAATACACATTCTTTTCATATGCACATGGAGTATTAACCAAGAGAGACATATCTGGGGACATAAAACAGGTCTGAGTGTATTTAAAAGGATGAAAATCAAACAAAGTTATGTTTTCTGAATGATTTAGCAATGTTTCTGGGTAAAAGGTCAGTATGAAAAAAACCCTGAGAATTTCTATGTAATAGTCATGAACTATTGGAAAATGAAATTTTAAAGACTGCTATTTACTGTTGCATTAACAAACATGAAATATGTAGGGATAGTGCATTGAAATGACTAAACCTTTCTGAGAAACCAAAGAAGACCTAAATAAATGGAATGATGTACAGTGTCATAGATTAGAAAACTCCATATTGTTAGGATATCAGTTCTTCTTAAATTAAGCTACAGAGTGAATCCTAATCTAAATCCCAGCAAGATTGTTATATAGATTGACAAATTTATTTGAAAATTTAAATGGAAATTAGAGAGGCTCTAGAGTAGCTAAAGACATATTTAAGAACAAAGCTAGAACCTGATGTTAAGGCTTATTATAAAACTACAGCCAAAACCGGTTTGGCTCAGTGGATAGAGCGTCGGCCTGCGGACTGAGGGGTCCCGGGTTCGATTCCGGTCAAGGGCATGTACCTGGGTTGCGCACATCCCCGGTGGGAGATGTGCAGGAGGCAGCTGATCGATGTTTCTCTCTCATCGATGTTTCTAACTCTCTATCTCTCTTCCTTCCTCTCTGTAAAAAATCAATAAAATATATTAAAAAAAACTACAGTAAGTAGTCAAGACTGTGATATTGACATAAGGAGTAGACATCAAGATCAATGGAACAGAATAGAGTCTTGAAATAGACTCATAAAATTGGTTTTATTTTTATTATTTTTAAAATTTATTTTTATTGATTTCAGAGAGGAAGGGAGAGGGAGAGAGAGATAGAAACAGCAATGATGAGAGAGAATCATTGATCAGCTGCCTCCTGCATGCCCCACGCTGGAGATGGAGCCCGCAATCCAGGCATGTGTCCTGACCAGGAATCGAACCGTGACCTCCTGGTTCATAGGTTGACGCTCGACCACTGAGCACACCAGGCCAAAAGCAATTTTTTTCCCCCCATAAAATTGGTTTTAGACAAAGGTTCCTTGATCATTCAATGGGTTGAGGAAACTGTTTTCAGCAAATGGTGCTGGAACAACTATTTCCCCTGTATATATATTAAAAAAAGACTCCATTCTTACCTCATATTGCATATAGATGCTACCTTAACAGATCCTAGACCTAGATGTGAAAGTTAAAACTATAAAATGTTTAGGAGAACATCTTTATGACCTTAGGGTAGGCAGAGATTTCTTAGGACACAAAAAGCACTAGCCATAAAAGAAATCATGGAAAACTTGAACCTTACCAAAATTGAAAACTTTTCTTCAAAAGACAGTGTGAAGAAAATGAAAAAGTTATGCACCAATTGGGGAAAAAAATCGCAGTACATACTGATTAAATATTTGTATTTAGAATATATAAAGAACTCTTACAACTCAATAGTAAGAAGACAACCCAGTACATTAACAGGCAAAAGATTTGAACAGATCTTCACAAAAGACGATATGTAAATGGTCACCAAGCATCTGAAAAGATGTTCATCATTAGTAATTAGAGAAGTGCTAATTAAAGCCACAAGGACAGCATTTTCATACCCACTAGTATTACTGAATGTAAAAAGATGGACACTACCAAATGTTAACCAAGATATGGAGCAACTGAAACTCATACACTGCTTGTAGAAATGGAAAATGGCACAATCATTTTGGAAAAGTTTGCCAATTTCTTACAATATTAATCAGATACTTACCATATGACCATATTACCAGTATTATTAGTATGCACTTAGTCAAGATAAGGGAAAATACATGTTCACAAAGAGACTTTATTTCATAATAGAGAAAAGGTGGTGGAAACAACCCAAATATCTCTCAACAGGTGAATGGGTAAGTCATTGTGGTATCACTCAACAATAAAAAGAAATGAACTGCTGATTAATGTAACAACTTGGATGACTCTCAAAAACATGGTGAGCAAAAGAAGATAAACAAAAAAGAACAAGCTGTATGATTCTGTTTATATAAGATTCAAGAAAAGGGAAAAAGCCCCAACTGATAATCAGCCAACCGCTACCCAAGGGTGTGCTTAGAGGGAGGAAGACTACAACAGGCGTGAGAGAACTTTTGGAGATACTGGATGTTTTGATTGTGGGGTCATTACTTAGGCTTATACTTTTGTCAAAACATGCCATTATATGCTTAAAATGGTTGTATTTTATTCTAAATTAGCAGCTATAACATTGTTTTAGAAAAAGTAAAAATTCAAGGAAGTTAAAGTATTAGAACTGGACTTGGTCTTTTTTTTTTCGTTAAATATGAAAAACTTTAGAACATTACAATATTCTTCTAAAATATGCACTCAATTGTAGTCAAAGAGTGGAAGACAAGTTAAAAAGGGTGAAAAATTAAATGTCTTCATTGGAATCAAATTCCTACTCCCTAAAGTTTCCAACTACAAACTGTATCTCAATCCAATGGATTTTCCATTCCAAGTCAGCCATGCCCTGCTTTTGTCAAGATTCCTAGTAACAGGGACATTGGGAAAGGAATTGATATGTCTAAAATGTGACCATAGGAGGACTCAGTGGGTCTACCAGAGCTGATACTGTACCCTGTCTAGGAACGTTTGATCTGAGCCACAGTTATCCCATACCTCTGATTTTTTCGATGAACAGAGCATTCAGGCTCTTCATTTAAGCTTTGTGAAGAAGGATGTGCAGTGCTCATTCTGGTGCTTCTGACTTGAGTCAGGTTAGGTAGCTGCTTGCCTTTTTTTCTGTCTTAGGGTATATTATTTTTCATGTTTTTTTTAAATTGATTTTTAGACAGAGAAGGAGATGGGGCTTGGGGAAAGGGCGGGGGGAGATATCCAGATATGAGAGAAACAGCAATCGCTGCCTCCTGCATGCCACCTACTAGGGATCACAACCCAGGCAAGTCCCCTGACCAGGAGTAGAACTGGGGACCTTTTGGTGCATGGGATGGCACTCAACCAACTGAGCCACACAGGCCAGAGCTTGGGGTAAACTTTTAATAATAATCTAATATCAAATACTTTCTACTTATCTCTTTAGGCACATGGTACATTTTTTTTGGTTGGGGGTGGTGTTGAAGGGAGTAGAATCACAAAATATTAGGATGGGAAGGGTGTGGGGCTCTGGATCATTTAATCCCATTTTCTCATTTTACACAGAGGACACTGAAGCCCAGGGAAGGCGAGGGACTTGTTTTAATGCCTCCTAGCTCACCGGAAGGAAGCCAGCCCCAACCCCTGACCACTTCCACTCATGGCTGTCTGGAAACAGCAGCCAGCTTCCCTCTCGGACTCGGGTTCCTCTAGTGGGAGAGGGACATTATTCACCTGTTTTCAAGGACATTGCTGAAGAACAGGGGATAAGGGACCACAGAGTGTACATTGCAAAACGCTGGCACTTGAAAGCAATCTTAAGTCACTACCTGCATAGTTTACGTGCCTACCCCTTTGGGATGAAAATTCCAGTGGCTGCCACATTTCAGAAAAGTTTGAGGTTTTCTTTCTTCCCCTTCCTTTCTTTGTTTTTGTGAAGCTATAAACTTGTTTGGAGGGAGACTTTGAACGTTAGCCTTGCTGCAGGGGTTTACAGTCATTAAAAAACTACGCTAATGAGAGAAACCTGTCATCTGAAGCTTTGAAAAGGTAGAGACTGACTCAGTTCGCCCCTCACCCGCCTGGGTTCATTGCTAATTGCTGCAGTGTTACTAAAACAAACGCCTGGACTTTCAGTGCCCCGGAATGGCATGTCTGTGCCGGGTCAGGGCTGCACTTCAGACCACCCTGTGTTTTATGGACGCGGTGTCTTGGCCATCCAGAGGCGTGCCAGTGGGGGCCGAGTTTCTGCTTTGGCTGCTAATTAAACTTTAGAAACCTTTTCTTTGTTGCTGGGCCAATCATCCCCACAATCTGATTGGCCGGAGTTGTTTCTATTTGAAATGGGCAAATTTATATTTATTCTGAAAAAACAAGCAGCAATTCCAAAGAATAAATGTTTATTTGAAAGAGCAAAAGTAACTGTCAAATGAGCAGATCGCTTGGAAACAGCTTTATCCGAAAAACCTTCTGAGAGTAGGAAAAAATTTGTCGTGGCTGCCAGATACAATGTTATCCACATTTCAAAAGAGAAATGCTGGTCTTCATACCTCAGGTTGCTGCGTTTGGCCTTTGCACAGCTCCCTGGCCTCTGGCTTACATCATTCCGCACATGTCCCTATGAGGGTGGAGGTGGGATATGGCGAGCATATCGATGAAGATGTGGGACTTCGAAGTCAATATTCATACATTGAATTATTCATCAGATATTTTTGAGCACCTCTTACATATCAGGAACTGTTTGCTAGAAGAGACTCAATGAACAAATGAACAGCACAGGCTAAAATTCCTTGCCCTATGGAACCTACATCCTCATGGGGCCAACATACCTGGATCCATGCGTTCGTTCTGCCACTGGTTTTGTGAACTTGGGCACGTCCCTTGCTCCCAGGAAGTTTGTTTCCTCAGCTGTAAAATGGTGTTAATAATAATTGCTACCGCAGAACGGTTTGTGAGGATTAATGAGATCATGTACGTAAAGTAGGCAGCACCTGGTGAGTGCTCAGAAATGGCAGCCGTTAGATTATTGTTGTCGTTATTTCTATGGGGCAATTCCGTTTGTCATCGTTGGACCCCAGTGAGCCCCTCTGCCGTGCTGGTGGACTTGCCTGAGGATGTTCCCTTGGCAGGGAAACGGGAGATCATCCCCTGACCCAAATCATGTTAGACACAGGGGTCACCTTCCGGGGTCACAGCCCGGATCTTGCCTTGGCCTTGCTTTCCCTTTATTTAAGCAGCAGCCACGCAGAATTAGCCCTTGTTCAGAAATAACTACTGCTATCATCCTGTTTTGCTTCCCTGGGTGACAGACTCTAACGTTTCTTCCTCTCTTCTTCTTTCAGGTTGTTTAGCGTAATTTTGGAACAATTAACCAAAGAAACAGAAGGCGGTAACCACTCCGGTGGCAAATCCGGAGGCTTTGACGTCAAAGCCCTCCGCGCCTTTCGGGTGTTACGGCCACTGCGACTAGTATCAGGAGTGCCCAGTAAGCACGCTTTGTTTCCTAAAGCCGGGTGTTGTTGATTTCTCCCTTCTGGGTGGGTCTCAGGAATGTGAGCCGAGTGCTGCAGGTGAGTTGCGGTGGCCCCGGCCCAGGCTCTGGGGGCGACCCAGAGGCCTTCTCGGGTTGCAATGCACTTCGGCTTGAGTTGTCGCTGGATCCCGTGACAGCCCGAGAGGGGCTGGCAGCCATGTGCCATCCCAACTTTGTAAAAGAGGAGACGGAGCAAGTGGTGGCATGAGGCCTGAGTACAGGCTTCCTGATTCGAGTCTGGTTTCCTTCTGCGACAGCACCCTGGCCGTCACCTTCTCCGAGAGTGGTGGCTTATCCACGGCTCCACTCCCGGCCTCTCTTCAATGTGAGGAGTGACGGGGGCTGCACTTCCAAAAACTCGGCTCCCTACTCTTAGGGACTGTGCCTGTCCCGCTCTGGGGAAGAGGTGAATGCTTTCGTGCCCTTCCCCACCCCTCCCCTGCAAGGAGGGCAGGCTAGAACCTGCTGGAAGGTGGTTTAAAGACTGGAGATAGTGCAGGGAGAGCCCCAGCACCAGGTCTGGAGCACAAGGAGCCCCTCAGGGTGAGAGGTGTCATCGCTGTGCACTTGGCGACGCTGCCTGTGTGTGCCAGGCCCTCTGTGTGCTGCCTGCTGCAGACCAGGCCAGGCTGAGTGCCACCTGAGTGGGAACAGATGTCTGTCTGTGCCCTGGCCAGGAGCGCAGGCTGCTGCTTCCATAAGGGGTGTGGGGTGTGCCTCCCTGGGCTCTGTTCCTGATGGGACACCCCCTCCCCTGCTGGGGACCTCAGAGGGTAGGTGTCCTAGCACCTTTCCCAGGACTTGGGCGGGAGGATCGGGCCTGCAGGCCGTGCCTGTGCTCCACCCTCGGAAAGCCGTCAGAAGGACACAGACCATGGTCTGGCTCCTCCAGCAAGTCCCTGTGAGTTTTTATTAAACCTGTTGGCGCTCAGAACGCACCAGAAATTCTCTGGAAGAAAACACCATTTCCAAATTTAACATTTTAAAATGCAGGAAGTGGTGTTTTATGTGTACTTGTTTTTCCAGATGGTTCATTTATTTTCATTGAAAAAGATCAGCACAAGTCAAAACCACAGAACTGTCTGGAAGCAATTGAGAAAAATAGGAATACCTTGGAAATGACTGGCTCTGTTAGGGTGGAACATGGTTACATGAGAAGTTCAGTGAGCAAACACGTTCTTTCAGATGTAGTTGTTACAGCCTAATCTAATTTCCAAGTAACCCCCCCACCCTCCACCCCACACTCCCCCCCAGCAAATGGCAGGGAGCCTGCCTGGGTGTGTGCTGCGGCTTGCGTGCACGGCGGTGAGAACTCGGCACTTACTCGGCCAGGTCTGGCTCCCTTGCCTCGTGAGCTTGTCACTAAATGACTAGTCCAGTGCCCCCACAGCCTCTCAAGAACCAGTGCTAAACTGTGTTTCTTCCTTCCCCCCAAAAAATACCACTTTGAAACTTGACCGAGGTCTACATCACGTTCTCCTAGGGATGAGCAGGGAGAAAGGGACCTGAGTCTTGTGTGAGAAATTTTCAGCCGTATTTTAACCGCCCTGGAGGGAACACCCAAGCCTCTCATCAGACCCAATGGGCTTTGGGGAGAGGGGTCGGGGGCTCTGGCTCATGCTGTTTTCCATGCTGGTTGGCGTCTGTGGCCCAGTGATTTCTTCTCAAGTACCTGAAATTGTTAAAGAGGCCTGGGAAAGTGTGGCTGTTGACACTTATCTGGGAAATGTCTAGTCATTTCTAAAGAGAATTGAGACTGTCCTATAAGACAGGATTCTGTGTGTGTGTGTGTGTGAATGTATTAAGTGGAAGGTAAAAAAATGCACGTTTCAGAAGAGAGTAGTTCAGACATCTGTGGAGCCCTTAGCCACCCACACGCAGTTAACTGATGAGTGTTTATCGGAATCCCAGCCCATCGAAGTGGGAAAGATCCCTAGAGAGCATCCGCCCAACAGCATCACCTTTACATGAGGAAGCCGAGGCCCGCCAAGGGGTAGTGACTTGTTGAGTTCCTGTAGCCGGTGGGTGGCCAACAGGCCAGACCCACAGTCTCCCAGTTCCTGGTGTTCTTTCCACGTCACCCCTCTGCATCCGTGATCAGAGCCCCCGTGAGCTCTGTACACATCGACAATATACAAAGGAGCTTAATGTCACATAAAAGTGTACAATTCACCTTGAGATACAGCTTCATTATCTCACAAATGTGGCCAATCTGAAGTACAGTAGAGCCTTAAATATGAACATATTCGTGAAACACATGGCTCACTGCCGTGGAATTGAGAAGAGCTAACTGCTGAATGGTGATTTGGGATGGCCTATCCACATCTAAAAAATAAACAACAAAAAACCCTATCCAATTGGATTAAGGCAGATGTTTTCTTTCCCCTCTGTCTGTTCTTTCTAGAAGGTGAAAACATTAGCAATCATCTTAATGATCATTTTTTCCCCCAAAAGAAACCATTTGAGCACTTAAACATCCAAAGGCAGTACCTAGGATTTGGGTCATAATGAGGGTCTTGGAAAGATGGGCTCCTTGCGAGTCTGAAATCCTCTGATTAGTCTTCCCTCCCCAACCAGTCCCCCACCTCTTTCCCATCTTTCTTACTGCTGATAAGTATTCTTCTCTCTACTTGGTGTGTTCTGATTTCTAACTTATTTAATTCTAGCATCTCAGCTTATATTCCTTCATTCTTTGAGTATGTATTGGGAGAGTGAGAGGATATTAGAAAAGGGCTGTTTGAATGAGGTGAGACAGTGGGGAGGGAGAAGTGGGGAGGGGAAGGGAAAGAGAATAAAGAGGAGAGTGAACTGTGCAGAGCAGAAGCTGTAGTCATGGGTGGTGGGAAGAAGGTAGGACACTAAACGTGGAGGTCAGGTTCTAGGTGAGTTCTGGTCTCCTGGCCATCACTGTCCCTCAGTCTTCTGCCTCCTCCCACCCACCATCCCTCTCTCCATTCTCCCTCTTTCTCTTCCTATACCATGGCTCTGAGTATTACTCCATGGACAGCCTCCAGGCTTTCGTGTCCCTTCCCCATCTCTCAAGCCCAGGGTTCCGCTGCAGCATGCTTTCCTCTTCGTGCTGTGCTATTATTGACTCACTGGTTCTGAGTTGCTCTCACCCTCTCCTTCCTTTGCTCATCTCCTGCCTCCCTCATTCCAGGAGAGCCTCCTTTTGACATGCTTTTTTTTTTGGCTGGGCACTAGGATTTCCCCATGACCCTGCCTCCATAGGTACCTTCTTCTCCCTCAAATTCAGTTGCTGAGTTCTGGTCTCCACCGATCCTGCCTACTGCTGCCCCATTCGTCTCGCTAAAGAGGCTGCCTTTCGCTAATGGACTAAAGATGGTCCTGTAGCCCAGATTCAAAGCCCAGAGCTACCTAGCTGCAGGCTGCTTTTCCTTCCTGATATTCCTTTCCACTTGTTCTCACCAGCCAAGGCTCCCCATCCCGAGCCCATACAGCGCTGGCTCACCTCTGTGCGCTTGGTGCACTCTCCCCTCTGCCTGGCATAGCCTCTCCCCTGCCCACCTGTGGACATCACCCTCCTCAGACCCAGGCCCTGCCGAAGGGAGGCTGCCACCCGGTCCTCTTTCTCCTCCCCATTCAGAAACAATGTGTAATTGTGACTGATGTTACTCATACAGCATTTGTGTGCTACCTTTCCTTTGCATTTAATTCTTATGTCTCCTCCTAGGATACAAGCTCTTTGAGAGAAGGCACATTATGTAATACATCCTCATATCTCCCAAAGCACTAACCTGATGCTTGCCACGTGGTACATGTTCAAGGAACTTTGTTGAATGGATGAACAAATGCATGCATGAATGACTAACTTTGATATTGGACAGTCCCCTCTCTAGGCCTTCCCCATCTGTCAAGTGAGGAAGTTGGATTAGATGATCTTTAAGTTTTCGTTTTAACTTATTTCACATCCAGATTAACGCTAATTGAAGGCTTTGAGATATCTCTCTGAGTTTTATTACATGTGTCACATGCAAAGCAGGCGCCATTAGGAATTATATATGTGCATCACTGAAGTTTCTTCCTGGCTCACAAACTTATTTCTCTCTCTCCTAGGTTTACAAGTTGTCCTGAACTCCATTATAAAAGCCATGGTTCCCCTCCTTCACATAGCCCTTTTGGTATTATTTGTAATCATAATCTATGCTATTATAGGATTGGAACTTTTTATTGGAAAAATGCACAAAACATGTTTTTTTGCTGACTCAGGTGAGTAATGAAAATGGTCGCTCACCCAACTTTTTATTTCCTCCCAAACAACTTTTGTGGTTTTGAGAAAATCTAAAACAAAATGAGAGTGAGAAAAAAAAGAATCCAAATGTACCAGTAAATTTACTGGGCCAGTTCCTAGTGTGAATTATGTTCAAAATAAATAAATCTCCTTTTTGGTCCTGATTTCCTGTATAATGTGTCCTGGCAAGCAAGACGAGGGACCCCCCAAAATTAGAACATGAGGCGAATCAGTGGCATTGTATACAGACGAGAAAGGTGCTGCCCGGGAGCACGAGGAGAGAAAGGTGCTGTGAGTGAGCACAGAGGGGAGAGCCCCGGGAGAGAAAGGGGCTGTGAGTACAGGAAATGGCAAACTCCACGGAGGAGGCACTGTGTGGAGCCGACCTTGGAGGCCAAGTGGGATTCGGAGGCAGCAGAGATGGGAGGAAGCAAGGGGGCTCGGCCTCCTCAGGCTTGGGCGTCCTGATGTTCATTCTTGGGTGGTGAAGCCTTCTTGCTCTGCTTGCAGATATCGTAGCTGAAGAGGACCCAGCGCCATGTGCGTTCTCAGGGAATGGACGCCAGTGTATCATTAATGGCACGGAGTGTAGGAGTGGCTGGGTTGGCCCCAACGGAGGCATCACCAACTTCGATAACTTTGCCTTTGCTATGCTCACTGTGTTCCAGTGCATCACCATGGAGGGCTGGACAGACGTGCTCTACTGGGTAAGCAGGGTGGGGAGGGAGCTGGTGGAGTGTTCTTTCTTTGGATGACAGTTGTGTTAGCTAGAGCCATTGGGGAGTTGACTGAAAGAGAAACCCTGGAAGTCAGTGTTTTGGGGAAGGGAAGCAGACCCTCTCTTCACTCAGCAAGACTCATCATCTTTCCTCCTCAGGCATTTAGTGTCCATTCTAGAGAGCCGGAGGCCAGTGTTGGCTCCCTCCACGCCCCTGGGCTGCCTGGGGAGTGCTTGCCCAGTGTGCCTAATGGCCCCTTCCTGGAGGAGCCCAGAAGGCCAGGCTGGCCCCGGTAAGCTCTTACAGAGCCAGGAGTTATTTCCCAGGTGAAGAGGCTTCATGGGCTAAAATTGTTCTTTTATACACAAAGGAAGGTTGCTTTACTAGTCTCTGAAACAGAAGATAGGGAACATAAATTGCATACCTTTCATGCTTTCCATAACTTAGCACAGCCCTAAAGCCAAAATGGGTTTTTTCCCCTATTATATTTCCCTTGCCTCTTCAGTACCATATAAATCAGCCCAGCACAAGCCCTTAGTTCTCTCTTTCTTTCTCTTTGGAGCCAAAGAACTCTGGCAGAGAGGGTAGAAATGGAGCGGGGACCCATCCAGCTGGCCGTGAAAACAGGGGGACACCCCTTCGATGGCTGGAGTCTGGTTCTTCTTGATCCAGACAGTGCCAGGAGGCTTGGCCATAAATGAAGAGTGGTAGCGTTTCAACAGCCATTTCCCAGAGCTGAGCCTGTTTGTTTGTTTGTTTGGTAGAATTTGAACAAGCTCACAGAAGTTTGGAAATTATTTTCCATGCCACAGAGTTGCTGGGAAAAACAGCTGACATGTAGATTTTGAGGCTAACCCAAAATCCAAATGAGATTAACCGGGATTCCAATAATAACTTGTTAAAAGGCAATTCATAGTAACACAATGCCTCTTGAATGGGCAGTCTCTAGCGAGAAGGCCTGCAGATTGAGATGCAGCTTTTAAATTTTAGACACTTTATAGGATTTCATATTACTCTGTAACTTCAGAGAACAGAGCATCTGATGGTTATAGTAGGTTTTTGCTTCCCTTCACCAGTGACCACATGCTTACAGGATTATAGAAGTCCCTCTGTCCTCAATGTTAGGCAGGGAGGGTATGTTTTTATTTTCAACCCCAAAGTCTGTGTCTAGTTTGGTAATAAGGTTTAAGCAGCACCAGCATGTTATTCCTTGTTTCTCCCCTTTTCTCTCCTTTTCCTTGTTGTTATAGGAGTGTGTGTGTGTGTGTGTGTGTGTGTATGCACATCTATTGTTTATATTTATATGTCAATGCCTTTCATGGAGAGGACGAAGGAAGGAGATTATATTGGATGAGCCAAGACCCTGGTCATGCAAGGGGACCCTCAAATTAAGCAAAGCGTTCCTTTTCACTAGTATCGTTTAAAAAGTTGCAACTCCTGATTAGATTAGTTGAGGTCTCACTCCCAGATTTCCCTTGAAATTTCTGGTAAATCCAAAAAGCATCATCCAAATAGCCCAAACTCTAATCCTTCCCCCAAACAGTACAGAAAACAGCATTTTGATTAAAAAAAATCTGTGATCCTCTCAACTTTGTTGTTCTCTCTAGTCATGGTAAATTGTTCACCGCTGATCCAACATGCCTTGACTAATTGACAATTTTATGCTTTATGTTATATTTCTGCACATCCTCACATGACAGTTTCCTTTTGTCAAGCAAGTGAAACCTCTGGGAGTGTGCAATTAAAGGAGAGAAAACTCCATGTGCCCAGAAACGAGTTTCCACTTGCCTTCCTGAGAACCTTGCAGTATCACCCAAGATCATGTTATTGTGATCTCTATTGTTAATATGACAATCAGAGTTAATAATTTAACAATATAATAATTATAGTCTCTATGAACTACATGACATCTTTATTTCAATGGAGGAACACACATAATTTATTAATATTATCCCAGCCTATATCCCTTTATAGAAAGTCTGGGATTTTGAAGATGGACACAGTGGAATATAGAGAGATCACTGAACATCCCTAGGGTCCTACAGCAAGAAGTTGTAGTCCTTGATCTAGAATGTGGGTATATATTCTTTTTTTCTAAGGGGCCAGATAGTAAATGTATTTGGCCTTGCAGGCCATAATGTCTGTGTCACAACTACTCAATTCTGCCCTCTGCCCTGGGTTGCTCAGAAGTAGCCATTGGCAACATGTAGACAGTGGTTTCTAATGAAACCATTTTTATGGAAACTGAAATTTGAATTTTGTATAACATTCACGTGTCATAAAATACTCTTTTGATTTTTTTAACCATTTAAAAATGTAAATGCCACTTTTAGCTCAAATGCTGTACAAAAGCAGGTGGCTGGGTGGGTTTGGCCTGCAGCTCATAGTTTGTCGACCCCTGGTCTAGACTAGAATCCAGCACTCTCTCCCTGGTATTCCCACCCTTCTATAACATTTGGGGCAGCAAAGTCACGTCTTCCACCATCTTCACCAAGATCTTAGTCTCTGAAACACATCAGGTTTTTAATTCCCTGTTGATTACATCATAGAGATAGACAAGGCACCCAGCCTTCTTAATATGTTATGGGCCACAGTCAGCTGGAAGCCACATAGCTGTTCCAGAACAGAGCATCCATGCCCAGCACAGCAAATACTAATTACTATTACTCTTCATTGCCTCAGTGTAGAGGGGCCATGTTTAAATATTAATTTTTATCCACAACTAAAGTATCAAGGAAACATCTTAAGAGATAACTAAGGAGATTTGATTTTAAATACTGATGGCAAGCAAATTTTCCAATCCTTTGGGTGTTTGTATATGGTGGACAAAGTCTTTGCCAGGGATTATGTGCATCTTGTCAGGTTTCTATTCAGTCAGTGTTCCCAAGCTCATTGAGACCTCAGATCTCGAGAGAGTCTTGCCAATGGTCTTGAGAAGGAAAGTACAGGTATGCCCGATATTCAGAAAGACACACTTAGAAAAGAACCTTATGGATGTGTGGGGAGTGGGATTATTAACTCTGGTGAAAAGAAAGTTATTAATGGAGCTTCTATAAATTGAGTTCCATAAACATAATTAAGCTGTCATCTGACTCGCACCCATTTGTTGGCCACAGAGGCAGAAGGGTGTAGTGCAAGAAAGAACATTAGGGCTGGGCTAGGGCTTGGTGTTTGACCTTGGACAGGTCACTGGGGCTCTTTGGGCTTTAAATTTGTTGTCTTTAAGATGCAGAACAAGACTACATGATTCTTTTTTATTTTTCTCCTTTAACTCAGAGGACATGTTTTTGAATGTAAGAAATTAATTTAAAAAGTATTGGTTTCAGGAGAGAGCTGTCCATATAAATTATATGTGGCCTCTTGCCTTATTGCCAAGCTCCTTTCAGTGAAGGCACCTATGGAGTTGCTGGCTGTCAGGCTCTAACGGGGTATTCTCATGGTCAACTATTGACTTCCTTCAGGGTACCTGGAAATTCCTCTCTAGTTGGCCAAGTGCTTGCCTTCCTGTACCTTTCTCTGATTCCATGCTCAGGGGATCTACCTACAACCAGCACCCCAGGTATCCAGTGGTGTTTCCAGTAGTTTTAGGATGGCCTTTAATTGGAGACATGAATATGCATCTCAACCTTTGAAGGAAGGGAAAACTGACACCCAATAGAATATTATTCCCTGGGCACCAGGTGGCTCCACATGATAACTTTGATATAAATATTTCAAAAAGCAATCTAAATTGAAATGCTTCAGCTCATGCCCATTTCCCCATTGTGAATGAAGACCTTGCAGACAAAATCCCAACTAGTGTCTCTATTTTCATGTGGGTATTTTGGGGAACAACTTGCCAGTTCTGATTTGTCCTGTGTATATAAGGTCTGAGAAACACTGGCCTCTGAGAAGAGATTGGGTTGAGAAGGTTTAGTTGGGAGAAAGACTGGCCTCGAAGCTTGAGCTCTGCTTCTCTTCCCTGATGTCTGGGGATTAGAGTCTCCTGTGGCCTTTGTTTAGGTTTAGCCTTGCCCCCGGCCTCCAGTGATCATTCCAGGTGATATTTCTGATTTGAGCAAATCTGAATCTGTCAAACACTCCTAAGAAATTATAAAGGTCTTTCCTTAAAAACGAAAGTTTCCTCCCACGTGGAGCAGACAACACAAGACTGAGGCCCAAATGAAGGGGTGAAGCAGAGGGCTCAGCCCACTGACTTGGCCAGAGCTGTTGAAATGCGAGGTCTCCTTGTGGGAGTCCTGGACTTGGACAGCTCTCTCCCATTCTGTGAGCATGCTCTCTCCTGTCGTACGCACTCCTGTTCCAATAGAGAGGAAGCAGGCCCAGAGAGGTCCCTGTGGAAGGTCCTGCCTCCAGGCTGGGCTCTGGCCACTACACCAAGCAGCCTGTTTTCTTGTCCTCCACACATGGGTTTTTAAATAAGTTTGGTGGCGTAGCTGCTTTGGAAGAATTACCCTCTGCCTTCCTGCTGAAATTAGTTTATCCAGCTTAATTAGATCAACAATTGCAGCCATGGCCTCGGCTCATTCATTACTCTAATTGCCAATGTAAGATGTGCAGACTGATATGAGTTCTATTAAGCACATCAGTTTTCATGTGGCCAAACAGGTGTTTCATAAGGGATTTAATGCCCTTTCCCTAGACTTCAGTAACAGATGTTAGGTAATTTTTTTTAATGTTCTCTTTTCCTGTTTGGCTTCTGTGTGAGGCAAACAGTGAAATGCACGAGTCTCATTCTGTAAAGCTGAAACCTGGAGCCGCATAGTGTGGAGGAAAGCACATGCTTAAAGTCCGAAGGGCTTGTACCTGCAAGGCAAGAGCCATGAGTCGGGCCAGACTAGGTATAGTTCTGTGGGCCGGAGGTGCTGGGTGTTCCAGCAAAGTCGGGCCTGGGGTCATTCCTGTCGTTCCCAACTGGCCCTCAGCATCTCCTTCCTGGGAGAAGCGTTTGCCCAATTTAACACTGACCTGTGCTGTTGGAAAGTTCCATCCGGCCGTGAACCTTAAAGCACCTGTTTGCTCCAGCATGAAAGCTGCTCATGACCAAACCCTCCTGGGGGTGTCTGTCGGGGAGGCCATGTCTGACTGTCCCACAGAAGCTTGTCCCACAGTGGGGCATGGGGTTCCTCTAGATCAGTGGTTCTCAACCTTTAAATACAGTTCCTCATGTTGTGACCCAACCATAAAATTATTTTCGTTGCTACTTCATAACTGTAATGTTGCTACTGTTATGAATCGTAATGTAAATATCTAATATGCAGGATGGTCTTAGGCAGGGGTCCTCAAACTTTTTAAACAGGGGGCCAGTTCACTGTCCCTCAGACCGTTGGAGGGCCGGACTATAGTTTAAAAAAAAACTATGAACAAATTCCTATGCACATTGCACATATCTTATTTTGAAGTAAAAAAACAAAACGGGAACAAATACAATATTTGTATTTGCATGTGGCCCGAGGGCTGTAGTTTGAGGACCCCTGGTTAGGTGACCGACCCCTGTCTAAGGGTCGTTCGGCCGCCAAAGGGGTCGCGACCCACAGGTTGAGAACCGCTGCTCTAGATGAAGCCGGGTTTCCAGGCTGGGTCATCCAGGGTAGATATAGGGGATAGTGCTTCTCCTTCTCCTGGGTCCTTCCTGTGGTGCAGGCATGAAAATCTCATTTCCTGGAGCATGTCAGCTCGCTGACTTCTGAGCACTCGCCTGCTTTGCATTAGTTTAGCTGTGCTTGACTCACTGATTGAGGGCCATTCAGATTTAGGGAGGTAGGTTTCCTTGGAGAGGTTGGCTCCCAATGGAAAGTTATTATTTTAGTGTGTGTGTGTTTTTTTTTAAAAGAATAGAATTTATAGAGTCAAATGTTGCCAGTTTGTCTCTATAACTAAGACTTTTCCACCATCCCAAATTTCAAAAGCAAAAAAAAAAGTACTAACAACTTGGACAGAGGAGGAAATAATTTTCAGCGAAGCAGTAGTTTTGTCCTCTACCAAGATCCTTTCAGAAAAGCCCTAATGGCGGCAGCTTCCTGTGAGAAAAAGCCAAATCCCAGCTGATTGCCCTACCGGTGGCCAAAGTTGGCTCTCATTTGCCCTGAAAGCTTTGATGCCTCTGTGTGTGTGTGTGTGTGTGTAAGTGTAATATATAATGAAAATGTATTGGCTACTGTTGTCTCTGATTTGAATCTAAGTAAATGTTTCATTAAATGTATAGAATGCTGTCTCTAATGTGACCCTCTCTCCTTACTAGATTCCCTTATTAACCCACCCCTATGAGACCATCTTGTTTCTTACAGATGAATGATGCTATGGGATTTGAATTGCCCTGGGTGTATTTTGTCAGTCTCGTCATCTTTGGGTCATTTTTCGTACTAAATCTTGTACTTGGTGTATTGAGCGGGTAAGCTACACCTCTTTCATCTTGAAAGCAGAGCCCTGAGGACAGTTGCCAAGACCACACAGGCTTTGCTAGATGGGGCCGCCAGGTGGGTGCCAAGCCTCACATGTCCTCCAAGACGCTTGTCCTCTGCTGAGGCTTCCCAAGTCACGACGGTTCCTGGAACCTCACCAGCCTTCATGAAAGGCAGCGATAGAATAGTTATTGACCAGGAGTTAATCAGCGTTGTTACTTGGCATTTAAATACTTTCCATTGCTTGCCCTTCTGCCTGTCCTAAAATGAGACACATTTATAATTGCTTTACTGGTCTGGATCCAAATATAATGCAGATGAATTGGTACAGACTTCAGCAGCAGAACGTATCCTTAGGTGAAGACAAAAAACAGAAGGCCCTGAGTGGGTCCAGCCCTAGGGGCACTGACCTTCCACCAAAGCCCCACGTGGTCTGGCAGCTGTTCCTGGGACTCCGCTCTTTAGCAAATAGATAACTGATAACATCTCCTTACATTTTACAGGTAAATGATGCGATAGGATGGGAATGGCCATGGGTGTATTTTGTTAGTCTGATTATCCTTGGCTCATTTTTCGTCCTTAACCTGGTTCTTGGTGTCCTTAGTGGGTAAGCAGTTGGATTCATGTTGCCCATTCTGCTGCCTCGTGTTCCGGGGGCGGCTGTGTGTGTCCCCTGGCGCCCCTGAGGCTCCCCTGCATGCGTGTGAACTCTGATGTTTCCTCCGTGTGTGGCTTTTGGATTGAACTGTGATTCTTTCTGCCTGTATCTATCTGTGAGATTCTGTGTTTCTGATGCTTGCCAAACACTATTAATTTAATGAGAACGTTTCCCTGAAGCCAGTTGCATTAATTTGCTGAAGTGCCGAAGTGGATTACCAGGGAGGAAAAGGAGTCCCGACCTTGGTCTCCCCCAGGAAAGGGCGTCTTTTGTGGTCTTATTCCCATTGGTGCATAACCTGCCCCTTTGAGATAATCATGCATATTTCCAGGGTGTTTTAGATTTCATTGTGAAGGAGAAATAAGCCTAGGCTAGCACATAAATACTAAACAAATTTTAAAATCTTAATGCCCTGCTCTCGGGATTGTTGATTAGCTTGGTTTTCTGCTGCTGTCACTGTGAGAATTTTCCCTCTAATTCATTTTTAATCTTAACTGGTAGAACCTTTCATATCGAGTAATGATCCGCTTTTGCACATGCATGTTTTTTTTTTGTTTTGTTTTGTTTTAGTAATACTCACCTGAGGATATTTTTCCATTGCTTTTGTTTTAGAGAGGAAGGGAGGGAGAGAGAGAGAGAGAGAGAGAGAGAGAGAGAAATATCCACTGGTTGTCTCCTGTACCTGCCCTGACTTGGGGGGTGTGGGGGGGCGGATAGGGATTGAATCTGCAACCCAGGTATGTGCCCTTGACTGGGAATCGAACCCACAACCCTTTGGTTCGTGGACTGATGCTCTAACCAGTGAGCAAACTGGCCAGGGCTGCACATACATGTTTTTTGGTCCTATCATGGTCCTTGTCCTTCAGTCACTGTTTTTGGAATTTCATTTTTTTTACCTTCTATAGAGAGGGCTCAGGGGAGATGGGCTCAGGACGGGGACTTGGGTGTCTCTGGGCTCTGCCTTACCTTGGGGCAGCTGTGCCACCTCACTGTCCTGCAGGTACCCCAGAAAGGGGAGCAAGTACCCCAAGGAAGGGACCCGGGACTGTCGAGGCTCTCTCAGAAGTGGCCAGCGGGGGGAATGTAACTGTTGGGGGCCTGGAGGGGGTGCTGGGGTGCTGCTGGAGGCCCAGGAGGTCCCTCCTCCCGGGGAGCCTGTGTTATTCACTGAGTGCAGACATCATCAGGAAACGCTGCTGATGGATTTTCTTCCCAGTGAGTTTATCTTCCTCTTGTCACTCACTTTATCTTCCTCTTTCGGAGCTTGTGGGGCTTGTGTCTCGGGCAAGTGATGTCTTCATGTAACGCCGAGTCAGTAGAGAGACCTCTGTCGCCTTTTTCTCAGAGCAGAAAGCCGAGCCAGCTGTCCATCTCTGCTCCCCTCCTTGCCTCCCTCCCGCCTCCCTGCCTGTTTGCAGGGGGAAAGGATTTGGAATTCTCCTTGACCCAGGGGGTCAGTGTCACACATGAAGGCCTACCTAGGGCCCAGCAGCCCCAACAGTGTGCCTCCCAGTGAGAGGGGTGGGGGGCTGGGACTGAGTTGGGGGGTGGAAGCATGCCCTGGCCCCCCCCCCATAGCAAAGCTTCCTTCTTCAGAGAAGTGGCTTCTCAAGCCTCATGCTCTTTCACTTACACCTTTAAAGTGCCCTCCTCCTAGTGAACCTCCGTGGCTCCGGCTGGTGGTGGGGTTTGAGGGTGGAAATGATCCCTGGAGAAACGGCATCGTGCTTAACTCTGCCACAGGAGCAGCCTGGCCAAGGTCAACAGCAATTCTGTTGTGACTTCCTTGGCGCCTCGTGTCTCCTAAACCCAACTAAACTGACTGAGGCCATGGAAACCGCTAATTTCAACAGAGCCGGTGACGTGCCTTATCTCCGAGCTCCGCAGAGCAGGCACCGGCGCCCTGGCACGAGGAAGCTGCTTAAAAAAGAAAAAAGGAAAAGCTGGGAGGAGGGGCTCCTCATTAGAAAGGTGGGCATTAAATATGCACCCCCAATGGCGGGGGTGCCCAGATCTGGGGGATGAAAAGGGTACACACCCTCATGGAACAACCAGTTTACTGAACTGTATTTCGGGGAAAATAATTTAATTGAAAGTAACTTAAAAAACATTTTTGTATCAAAACCAAACTAGATCCCTTTCTGAAGGAGAATGCAAACGATGTATACATTTTAAAATAAAACCTAAGACTCCCTAGTGACTCCCCCTGTGGGTGCAGGTACCCGTGGGCTGCCTACAGACTCTCCTCCACCGGAGGCCACTTCGGTAGGAGATGCTGGGGGCTATTTGTGTAAAGTGAGAACCACGTCTGCAGAGCAGAGCCTTTCAGCCTGTTGACTAATTTGGCCAGCGATTCCCAAGTTCTGCTGAGTGCCCGGCTCTGGGCCAAGGGCCAGGGGTGCCAAGATGTCTAAGCCACAGACAGAGGCCTAGTGTTCAGACCTTCATTGTCTGGCGGGAGAGACTATTGTTAAGCAGTGCAGGCGGGCAATGCTAGAGGAGAGGTGTGGACCAAGGGCTGTCAGCTGGACCTTGGAAGATGATAAGGCATCTGCTGGGGAAACGTACAAGGAGCTGGCAGGCTCCCACCTGCCCTAACAGTGACCTGCGCTTCTCTGCCCAGCCACCTCCCCTTGGCTTCCCCCCAGGGCAACCGGAAATCAAAATGGGTCCCTCGTGTTCGTCTCCTTGTTAAAGCAAATTCAAAATACTTTCATTTTAGTCTTAGGGTTCTTCACAATTTTTACAGAGATGACCAAACCAGAAGGATGTAAATGTTAAAAGAAAGACAACTTATGTTGCAAAGCCTTTTAGGGCCATGAGACCAATACAAAAGGAATCCCAAAAGCACCGAAATAAAAGACTCCTATTATAGACGTTCAAGACCCTGCTGTAGCTTTCTGATGCACAATCATGAAATGATGATGTGTGTCTTTAAGTCTGTTGACCACGGAGAAATATTTGTTTCTGCTCCTTGGCTCCGTCTCAGATTTTGTGTGGCCAGGCCACCCTATTTATTCTTGAACTGATTTTAATCTGCCACCTGATTCGTTGCCGGTACATTTTGAGAGCGTTCTGAGGTTGGTGCTTTGGAAACCCCTTTGGTTTTACAGCAGACCCTTTGCCTCAAGGTGAGTACGAAGTTTACAAACTGCACCCCTCATAGCCAGGCATGAGCAGAGGAAGACCTTGGTCTCTGAGGACAGGGTGCTGCGGGAGGAGCCGAGCTGTCTAACTCGTGTGGCAGCTTCACATTAAGTTGTCATTGAGAAGATGGGCCTGTTATGACCAGTGACTAGAAAGCATGTCTCAGTGAAATCTACAATTCAGGCAGGCCACGTCGCCCGTCACGCTGGCTTTTTAGAAGCTTCGTGATTTTTCAATTCTAAAATTGTTCATTTAACTCCTTGTCTCTTTTGAGGTGTTTGTCGGTGAATAGACAAAAGAAGAGAACACGTTGGTGCTTCGGTGCTTTGTTTCTTTAGCATCATTGCCACATTCCCAGGGGAAAGGGTGCCGGGGCAGTGGGCTCCGTTCTGCACCTGAAGGACCCGCCTGATGCTGGGCACACCTGCCATGAGCTAGCATGGTCCCCAGAGCTGGGGTCCAGGCCCTGAGAAGGGGGCTGGTAGATGAAAAGGGAACTAGGAGACCTGGGTTTTGGTCCAGCCAATGTCACACAGTAATTCTGGGACTTCACTTAGTAGCCCTGAGCATTTGTCTCCTCATGCCTCACACAGGGATGACCCACCACCCACCTTCCCACAGGGTGCTGGCTTTAATCAGCTCATGAATGTAGAAGTGCTTCAAAAATATATAAAGGGTTTTACTCATCTAATGTATCTGTATATTAAGTCTATGCCCGCTTCCCTGGGGTCCTTTGGAAATTATCTAAAGGGTACCATTCTCTGGATTTCCCAGGAAGTGACCAGAGAAACGTGCTTGGTACACATGTTACTCCTGTATTCTGTGCCATCCACAGGAGGCTGTGGAGGTTCTTTGTCAAGCTCTGAATCATTGCGATTGAAGTTATGTCTGACAGTGATTTTTTTTGGTCACAAATAGGGGTAGGTAATGGCATTTCTGTAACATAGTGGTTAAACTCACCGGCTTTAGAGTTGGATCACCAAGACTTGCATCTTTGCTCTACCTTTTACCACATGAGATTTGGGGCAAATTACTTAACTTCTTTGAATCTCACTTTCCCTATCTATGAAATGGAGCTAATAATACCAACCGTGTAGAGGATTCATTGAACAAGAGTGTACAGTGCTTGGTCATTGTTGTGATGGCTCAAGTAAGAGTATATAAGGCATATTGTTAGTTAATGGGATGCAAGGAAAATCTAATTAACTCAGTCCTTTTAAAATAATTAATAATTATAGGCCAAGGTAGGCCTGAATTAATGAAAAGTCAAAGTTATACTTTAAAATGTTTTATTATATGCACATGTCTGTATATACATAATGACATAGCCAGTGACTTCTACAGAATATTACTACATAAACCACCTCCTGGGCCTGCTTTAAAGAAAGATGAAAATCATTTGTAATTCGCCCATGAATTCAAAGCTGTGGTTTTTGTCAACCTCTTATGAAAAATATTTGAACCACTTCTTTTGGTAAGCAGTCCTTGTATATTGTTGGAAGATAAATGCTCTTTGTAAACCAGATTTTATGACATTAGATTGAATGTAAATTGAACCCATGTCTATAAATTCAACATCATTCAGCTCTAAGTTAATTTGTGTCTTTGTGTCCCAATTAGTTGCAAATCTACCAGGTCACAGGTTCTCTTTTGAAATCACTAATCTCATTTTATATGACTAGAGGCCTGTTTATCTTAACTTTAGAAGTTTTGTGGGGATGTGGATGAAATGAAGCATCTTAAGAGCCATTTTCAAACCAGGTGATTATTCTGAATTTCACTATCCCATCCTTCCGATTCCC